AAAAATGAAAGAAAAGAAAAAAAAACACAGGACTGAAAAACATCACAAACTTCAGTAGAATCAATGAATCAATCAATGAGCGAAGCACTCAACTCTGAGATGAGAGAAATGTGAAAGAAATCACAACATAACATCATCTAAAACAACTCAATTAAAGAAACAGGTCTGCCGGCTTTTGCATTACAAAAACTGCAGTGCCTGATGGGAGCTGACGTCGCTGGAAACATGATCACAACCAGTGTTGGGAGTAACACAACAAATTACTGTAATGTGTTGCTTTTTGCTGTAATGCAGTAATGTGGCATTACAGGAAAAAAAAAATAATTCGGCCATAAAGATTTAAAGTAGGGATCTATATAATATTCATATATCTACTATTGGGGACTACTGACACTACTACTACTACTACTACTACTACTGCTACTACTACTGTCACTACTACTACTGCTACTACTACCAATGATAATGATAATAATAATAATGAAATATTATTGTTGTAATTATTGTAATTAATAGTAGAGATAATAATAGGTATTATGGATGTAATAATAATTAATAATAATAAAAATAGTAATAGTGATGAAAGGTAGTGGAAATAATAGTAGGAATAATAGTGATAATAATAGCAGTAATAATAATTAATAAAAAGAAATGCCTTTAGGGTTATGTTTTTTGAGATTGTGACATATGGTGAAAGATGATGAGGGGAACTGATGATGGTGAAAATAAATATTAGTTTGAGTATAGGGACTAATACATTTAAAAAATTATAATTAAAAAAAAAAAAAAAAAAAAAAAAAAGGGAAGGAAGAGAGACAAAAGGAACTTCAATTATAAATTGGCCGCAGTGTATCAGTGTTCGGGAGCCTAGCGGTGTGTTTATGTTGCACTATCACATTTATTTTGTTTTGACTTTGTGTTGGTGTGGGTGGTTGGGGGAAATGGGGGGGCTTTTTTTGTATTTGTTGTGGTGTTGTGGTTGTTGCTTTATGTTTTTGTTTTTATGTTGAATATTGCAATTGTTAAACGTTGATGTTTGTTTTAGTTTTTTTTGAATGTTATGTTCTGCTGTCTTTAATAAAAAAAAAAAAAAATAAAAAATTAAAATTACTCGTTGCAAATGTGAGTAACGCGCGTCACAATGCTTTTTTAACCTGGACTGAACTGGTGGGTTTTTCGTTTTTCTTCATACAAATTCGCTAAAATCATCACGATATCAGCAGCAGTAAAACGTCATCGTTACGGTTCTGAATGTTGGGACAGGCCCGGAGGTGCGCCCGCGTAGACCGTCGAGAAACTGCGGGCGAAAGGACCGACGCAGAACTCCACGCTCCACAGGGCTAATCGCAGCTGATGCTTAGACCTGGTCCTTTTAGTTTAGACCTGGTTTAGACCTGGTTTAGACCTGGTTTAGACCTGGTTTAGACCTAATTTTAGTCCTGATTTAGTCCTGGATTAGACTTGATTTTAGTCCTGGTTTAGACCTGGTTTACATCTGATTTTAGTCCTGGTTTAGACCTGGTTTAGACCTAATTTTAGTCCTGGTTTAGACCTGATTTTAGTCCTGGTTTAGACCTGGTTTAGACCTGGTTTAGATCTGATTTTAGTCCTGGTTTAGACCTGATTTTAGTCCTGGTTTAGACCTGGTTTAGACCTGGTTTAGTTCTGATTTTAGTCCTGGTTTTGTCCTGGTTTAGACCTGATTTTAGTCCTGGTTTTGTCCTGGTTTAGACCTGATTTTAGTCCTGGTTTACACCTGGTTTAGACGTGGTTTAGACCTGGTTTTAGTCCTGGTTTAGACGTGGTTTAGACCTGGTTTAGACCTAATTTTAGACCTGGTTTAGACCTGGTTTAGTCTTGTTTTAGAAAGAAACAAAATCTAGTCAAGTTAAGATGACTTGAATTAAGAAAGTTTTATCACAATTTGAGTCAATTTTACTTGACAAGTAAAATGATCTTAAAATATGAAAACAAATAACTTTGCCCTTAAAATAAACAAAAGTGAATGTTGCTTGAATGAAGAAAAACACACTTATTCCATTGGTAGATCATTTTACTTGTCAAGTTGAACCTACTCAAATTCTACTCTTAATTAAACTTACCAAGATATTGTTTTGTTTTGTTTTTTACAGTGTGGTGAAAATGGGAGCTGATGGACAATATGACATGTTGAAAATAAGCGATTAAAGATGAATCACTCCAAATACAACTTCAAGACGGCGAATGAGAATTGGAAACAACTACAACACGGTTAAAAGCTCTGAGAAGTCGGTTTTGACCTGGTTTAGACGTGGTTTAGACCTAATTTTAGTCCTGGTTTAGACCTGGTTTTAGTTCTGGTTTAGACCTGGTTTAGACCTGGTTTAGATCAGATTTTAGTCCTGGTTTAGACCTGGTTTAGACCTAATTTTAGTCCTGGTTTAGTCCTGGATTAGACCTGATTTTAGTCCTGGTTTAGACCTGGTTTACATCTGATTTTAGTCCTAGTTTAGACCTGGTTTAGACCTAATTTTAGTCCTGGTTTAGACCTGATTTTAGTCCTGGTTTAGACCTGGTTTAGATCTGGTTTAGACCTAATTTTAGTCCTGGTTTAGACCTGATTTTAGTCCTGGTTTAGACCTGGTTTAGTTCTGATTTTAGTCCTGGTTTAGACCTGGTTTACATCTGATTTTAGTCCTGGTTTAGACCTGGTTTAGACCTAATTTTAGTCCTGGTTTAGACCAGATTTTAATCCTGGTTAGTCCTGGTTTAGACCTGGTTTAGTTCTGATTTTAGTCCTGGTTTTGTCCTGGTTTAGACCTGATTTTAGTCCTGGTTTAGACCTGGTTTAGACGTGGTTTAGACCCGGTTTAGATCTAATTTTAGACCTGGTTTAGACCTGATTTTAGTCCTGGTTTAGACCTGGTTTAGACGTGGTTTAGACCTGGTTTAGATCTAATTTTAGACCTGGTTTAGACCTGATTTTAGTCCTGGTTTAGACCTGGTTTAGACGTGGTTTAGACCTGGTTTAGACCTAATTTTAGACCTGGTTTAGACCTGGTTTAGTCTTGTTTTAGAAAGAAACAAAATCTAATGAATGAGAATTGGAAACGACTACAACACGGTTAAAAGCTCTGAGAAGTCGGTTTTGCGTGATCCTTCTGCTTTACGTGCGATAACATCTCTGCGCAGTTACGGTGAAGCTCTTGCCGACAGCTGAGTGCACTTTGAGGTGAACGCTGTCCACGTTTTGTCACCACAACGTACCAAAACAATGTCTCCAAACGACCCGATAATGACAGAGCGGGACGGCGTGATGGAGCCCAGAGGAGCGTCTGATGATCGTGCCCAGTGGACTGTGGAGCGTTCGCCGCAGTCACGTTCAAATGAGCAGCTCCCCTTTCGCAGCAGAGCAGGGCAAAAAGCTTACACTTGCAATACATAAATAAATCAAATGTAATAACTTTTTTCATAAAGTGTCTGCCACCTGCTTGTCTCCATGGAGATGTCATTGCTTCGCCTTGAATGTTCCCCAGTATGGCATTACATGTGTCTGTTTACGTTTGTGCAATTACATGTGTTTTTGCTGCTCAAAATATCTTGAAAAAGCAAATTTTTTTTTACTCCATCTGGTTTAGATCTGATCTGTTTAAGTCCTTGTTTTAGTCTAGTCCTGGTTTAGTCCTGATTTTAGTTTTAGTTTTAGTCCTGTTTATTTTAGTCCTGGTTTAGTCCTGGTTTTAGTCCTAATTTAGACCTGGTTTAATTCTGGTTTAGACCTGGTTTCAGTCCTGATTTTAGTCCCCATTTAGTCCTAGTTTAGACCTGGTTCAGTCCTGGTTTAGACCTGGTTTTAGTCCTGATTTTAGTCTGGGTTTAAGCCTTGTTTAGTCTTGGTTTTTATCCTGATTTTAGTCCTTGGTTTAGTCCTGGTTTTAGTCCTGGTTTAGTCCTGGTTTTAGTCCTGATTTAGTCCTGGTTTAGATCTGGTTTTAGTCCTGGTTTTAGTCCTAATTTAGACCTGGTTTAATTCTGGTTTAGACCTGGTTTCAGTCCTGATTTTAGTCCCCATTTAGTCCTAGTTTAGACCTGGTTCAGTCCTGGTTTAGACCTGGTTTTAGTCCTGATTTTAGTCTGGGTTTAAGCCTTGTTTAGTCTTGGTTTTTATCCTGATTTTAGTCCTGGTTTAGTCCTGTTTTAATCCTGGTTTAGACCTGGTTTAGTCCTAATTTAGTCCTGGTTTAGACCTGGTTTTAGTTCTGATTTTAGTCCTGATTTTAGTCCTTGTTTAGTCCTGGTTTTAGTCCTGATTTAGTCCTGGTTTAGTCCTGGTTTAGTCCTGGTTTTAGTCCTGATTTAGTCCTGGTTTAGATCTGGTTTTAGTCCTGGTTTTAGTCCTAATTTAGACCTGGTTTAATTCTGGTTTAGACCTGGTTTCAGTCCTGATTTTAGTCCCATTTTAGTCCTAGTTTAGACCTGGTTCAGTCCTGGTTTAGACCTGGTTTTAGTCCTGATTTTAGTCTGGGTTTAAGCCTTGTTTAGTCTTGGTTTTTATCCTGATTTTAGTCCTGGTTTAGTCCTGGTTTAGTCTTGTTTTTTAGTTCTGGTTTAGAGACATGGTCCATTCAGTGTTTACGAAACCAAAAAGGTGACACTCCAAACTATGAGTATGTTGTCAGAATGGCAACATCATTTTACAGCTAATACAAGCGCGCGCAATTACAGATATCAATCCTGTCGCAGATGTGTACAGATGTGGGCCGTTATTTTTTCTTCATGTGTTTGTCACCTACTGAAAACCTCTGGTATAGACAAAACACAAATATCTCCATAAAAAGCCACGTACTTTACTTATAACACACTTGAAGTAAACAAAAAGCTTCGTTTAGTCTCATCCAAATAACCAACTGCAAACAGTAAGTGCCCGTGTGTGATTTTAAAGTCTTTCTGATTAAATGCACATCGTATTTTACAATGTTCTTTCCTCTACAGCCTTTTCTTTGGTTCGTGTGGTGACAGACCTGTTTGTAGTGAGACTGTGGCTGTTTCTGTCTGCAGAGCGGGCGTTGTCGTCACTCCTTTGTCCATCCCAGGCCGAAGCGCTCTGTCCGATCTGTGAAAACAAAAGCAAACGTGTCGGGGACATTTTAGGCGGACCTGGGACAGACTGTGCAAATACGGTTTTAAGGTATACTTCCAATGTGTCAGTATCGTGCACAAAAAAGTGTCCAGGTGACTAATAAACTAAATTTTCTACACTTAACCGCTCCTGGAGGAATGGGGGATTACAGCGTCTGAATTTCAATCGTAAAAACTACTCTCAAAAAGGCTCCAAAAAGCTGTCTTAAAATAAAATGAATAGAAACATGCAGCAATCTAATCTTCCAAACAGCTTTATTTATGCTTGTGGGTGTAAATATAACATTGCAAAGGGTTGTGTAGTTTACTATGAATTGTATATTGGGAAAAAACAAACAAAAACAGGCAGCATAAACATCTGATTAAATATAAAAGTGAAAATATTATGTTTATTGACAATCCATTTTGTGATACATAACAGGTCCAATCCATATTACTCTGTTTTCTGATCTACCACATTTTTCAAACTATAAATCACACTTTTTTTCATGGTTTGGGTGTTTACTGTGACTTATTAAAATGTTTGAGTGAAGTGTGGAGAGGTTCTCGTCTTGTGTGTGAGTATCTGCTGCTCCTGTTCCTCCTGTACCACTGTCACTTGGCTCTACTGCGCGTGTCTCCTGCAGAAAGAGCCTCTGTCCTGTCTGTATCATGTCAGTCGGTCGCACCGTTACTTCTGCACCACTGAACAATTTAACATTTAAACAAACTTATAAAGACGACTGAGAAGACTGAACACAAATGCCCCCAAAAACAAAATCAGATTTTGCAGATTACAAACTGCAAGTCGTGAAATCTGCAGCTGAAAACGATAATCGAGCAGCAGACAGAAAGTTTGGAGTGAAACAGAAACTTGTGACACCATGAAACTTTTCTGAAGTCACTGGATGGATGGACAAAGCCTGGACTTCAGTGACACTGAAACCATCCTGTCAGGATTCAGAAAGACCGGAATACTGTATTTTCCGGACTATTAGACGCGCTCTTAAGCCTCCAACCTCATCAAAAAATGACTGCACCCCGCAATCCAGAGCGCCCCATACACGAATCCACTCGGGTGTCCCAGCACAACTTCAGTAAACTACAAAGTCGCACCACCCACAGAACACACACAGGAGCAGACAGCGACCGTACAGCGAAAAACACCCACAGTCACACTCATCACTCCACGCCGACGAGGAACGGAACGGAGGAACGAACCGAAAAAGCGAGTGCAATGTGCCACTTCTAGACACGACTGAACAACTGAGTCACTGCGAACACGCCGACAATCCAGCGGTCCCAGACAGCACCCTCCCTACACGCCACAACTGAACAAAGCCCAGAGTCACCGTGAACGCCACAAACAAACAAAACCACTGACCCATCCAACTGTTGTGTTTCATTTAAAGTCCTATGCCGTTTATTTGTGAAAAAAGTTCGAAAATAGACCATTCAGTGACGTCAGTGCATCTTATAATCCAGAGTGCCTAACAGCCTGGAAAATATGGTAATTCTAACTGGAACTGATGCTGATTCTGACGACAGCGACACAGAAGAGGAAGCGACGCTCTGTTTAACTCCGGAGGTCGAGGCCGAGTTGCTCAGAAGTGACACCGAGGATGAAGAATTGAATGGATTTAGTGATTTGGAGTGAGATGGAGAGTTTGGTTAAACTCATTCTGTTCTGTTGTTTATGTTATAGTTTATCTGAAGAACTGTTCATATGTGACGTTAACAGTCTGTTGTTCTCTCTTCTATTGTTATTACTACAACTTACCTTTCAAGAGGAAATGTCGGTTCCTGGTTTCTGATTTTATAAAATACACTTCCCCCAAAAAGTGCGACTTATGTTTCTTTCTTCTTCATTGCACATTTTTTGGCTGGTCGTCCGAAAAATATGGAATGTTATAATGTTTCCTCATTACAAGCATAGCTGGAGTTGTGTTTTGTTGATTTAGGCTTAATTCTCAAACTGAAAATACTCTGTTCCACCTTGTGATGTCATGTGGCAATACAAGAAGTGCTCCACTCTGTTTTTAACTCCATACAGCTTCACTTAAATCATTTGGATAATTTCACCCCTGGAATTATCGATGTCTACTCAACAAAATGTAAACTTCATGACATCACAAGGTGGAACAGAGCATTTTGTGCTTCAGAGATGTAGACAGACTAATAAAAAAGTGTTACTCAAACATGTGTGAATGAAACAAAACAACTGTAGGTCTGTTTACGATGTAACAATATTCTAACATGACATAACACTCAAGAGTCAATTTTGTGTAGTATAGAACCTTTATACGGAAGCCGAGAGGGGTCAAAACAAACGCAAACGCCGCAACAAATACAAATGTGAAGACGCAACAAAAAGCCACAACACACCAAAAAAAGCCACAATGGAAATGACCGCGGGACTCTGTTTTAATGCAAACGCCGCAACAAATACAAACGCCACAACACAAATGCAAATGCCGCAACACATTAAAAAGCCACAACACATCAAAAAGCCACAACGGAAGTGACCGCGGGACTCTATTTTCCGACGGACTGATCAAGCGGCAAGTGAAGACGAAGAACTACAAAGTGAAAAGTAAAGGAACGGAGAAGTTGGAAATATAAGTACAAGTAATTTATTGTTTTATCATTATTCGTTTCACGTTGTAGTTCTTCTTCTTCACTTGCCGCTTGATTGGTCTGTCGGAAAATAGAGTCACGTGGTCACTTCCGTTGTTGGCTTTTTGATGTGTGTTGTGGCTTTTTGATGTGTTGAGGCGTTTGCGTTTGTGTTGGCGTTTGTATTTGTTGGCGTTTGCGTTTGTGCGTTGTGTTGTGTTGGCTTTGTATTTGTTGCGGCGTTTGCGTTAAAATAGAGTCCCACGGTCATTTCCGTTGTGGCTTTTTAATGTGTTGTGGCTTTTTGATGTGTTGTGGCTTTTTAATGTGTTGTGGCTTTTAATGTGTTGTGGCTTTTTGATGTGTTGTGGCTTTTTGATGTGTTGTGGCTTTTTAATGTGTTTGTGGCTTTTTGATGTGTTGTGGCTTTTGTTGTGGCTGTTTATTGTTGTGCTTTTTATGATGTGTTGTGGCTTTTTTAATGTGTTGTGGCTTTTTGATGTGTTGTGGCTTTTTTTTGATGTGTTGTGGCTTTTTAATGTGTTGTGGCTTTTTGATGTGTTGTGGCTTTTTAATGTGTTGTGGCTTTTTGTTTTGTGTTGTGGCCTTTTTAATGTGTTGTGGCTTTTTGATGTGTTTGTGGCTTTTTAATGTGTTGTGGCTTTTAATGTGTTGTGGCTTTTTGATGTGTTGTGGCTTTTTGCATTTGTGTGTGATTGTTGCTTTTTTATGTGTTGTGGCTTTTTAAATGTGTTGTGGCTTTTTAATGTGTTGTGGCTTTTTGATGTGTTGCGGCATTTTAATGTGTTGTGGCTTTTTTATGTGTTGTGGCTTTTTAATGTGTTGTGGCTTTTTGATGTGTTGCGGCATTTGCATTTGTGTTGTGGCGTTTATATTTGTTGCGGCGTTTGCATTAAAATAGAGTCCCGCGGCCATTTCCGTTGTGGCTTTTTTTGGTTTGTCGTCGCATTTGTATTTGTTGCGGCGTTTGCGTTTGTTGTGACCCCTCTCGGCTTCCGTACCTTTAAACCTAAACAACATTAACACATTTCCCGTCGTTCGCTGCTAGTGTCATTTTATTTATCGTCATTAGAATAACTTAAACCTTATCGCTCAGCCCTGCTCGTGTTTCAATTTCAGAAGTGACTCGTGTAATTATGATGTTGACGATTGGTGGCAGCTGTTAGAGAAAGTAGAGGAAGCCCACACAGATGCTCCACATACCAGAGTGACCAGGGCTTAAAACTGTCAGGGCCACAAGCTAACTAGGCCAAGAGACAATAGTGCACTGCTAAGAATAGAACTACACCCCAAACACTCCATTCACCTTTAAAGAAGACATAATACACGCTTTTTCCTGCAAGTATTCAGTATGAAATGAAAACAAACATACCGTGTGCCATTATTTACATTGTGTTCATTGTAAAAACAGAATATTTAAGCATTTTTATGGTTTAAAAATGTCACTTAGTGGTCACTTTTTGAACCTTTTATTTAAGTCGTGGAGTTTTTATTTTTTCATAATAAGTAAGTAATGAACGATAGTGCACTACGCAACTTTTCTGGTAGATAACATCTCCAATAACATCGTCATGGAGGTAACTTTTTAGTCCCCGTAGAGATGTTATTTCTTTGCATGGAATGTTTCACAGTATGACATTAAATATATCCATCTAGCTTGTTTCTACTCAAAAATACATTACCGTATTTTTCGGACTATAAGGCGCACTTAAAAGCTTTTAATTTTCTCAATAATTGACAGTACGCCTTATAATCCGGTGTGACTTATGTATTAATTCTAGTTGTGTTTGCCGAACTCGAACTGATTTTATGTGGTACACGGCGCTCAAAAATCTGTCAAAATGTTTTAATACGACTTTGTTAAACTACGACTTGATAAATTGTTAGAGCGACCGTAGTCAGGAGCCTCACAGAATCGGACAGAAGCTGAACCTCATCAGCGCACAAGGAGCAAGATGTTTTTTTCAGCATTTTGGTTTGTGCAAATGAGCCATGTGGTTTTAAGTTTTGTTTCTGTAAAATGTAAACAAATATGCGCAAAACTCCATTAAACACATTATTACTCAATGTATATTTGAGTCGTTCTGGTAGGAAATAATAAAACAAACTGAAATGATCCACTCACGTTCACATTCCTAATCCACATTCACCAAGACAGAGAGGCAATGCCAGGCGAATTACGCCACAATCTGCCGATGGATCGTGGACGCCTGGACTAAGGATCAGTCTCAAGTGTCGTCCGTTTGTTTCGCTTAATGCGCCTTATAATCCGGTGCACCTTATAGTCCAAAAAATACAGTAATTCCTTCTGTGAATAGGGGCGACGCACTACAGATTTGACTTGTAATGTATCCTGCTGTAACCTGCTTTTCTCCTTTATGATAGATTGTTCCACAGTATACACACATTAAAACTTTCTAGACAAAGTAAACAGCTGGTGGACCCTCCTCTAGAAATGTTACACAGTGCACCTTTAAACGCAGGACAATACATTCTTACTCAAACATGCATGAATCAATCTAAATACAACTTTGACCCTCATGGTGAGAGAACGCCTTTTTAACGTTGTTCAGAACTCATAGATGTTTCAAGTAGTCGTACTAAAGTGCGCTGTTTGCATGCTAATTGTTGTTCTAGCATTTCTCTCGGTACGATATTATCACGATATGCATCTCACCTTACGATATTTATTGCGATATTTTGGAGAGGCTCATATAATTGTAGATAGGACACTTTTTTGCTTTTAAAATACCTTGACAAGATTTTACTGTGAATTATTTCCGTCATAATCCCAAGAATTCAAGTCAAAAACATATTTCTTCATGTTGTCTGCTCTGAAATGAATCATGGGATATGTAGTTTCCGATGTTCAGAAGCTGTTGCTACTATAAAACCATGCATTTAAGCGAAGGAACTTGTAATCCGATATATTGTGATAACCCACGATTTTATTGTGAGACGTTTGACGATACGATATTATGATATTTCGGTTATTGTTACATCCCTTCTGCAAACCATTTAAAATGAACTAGTTCTGTTTCTCATAGTCTATAGAGTAAAAATCAGGTACAGCACCTTTAACACGAAGGCAAACCTCTATCTATACACTGAGTAATAATCAAGTTAACTTCAGCTTAAATGAAAACATGTTTCAAACCAAACTGGTGCTGCTGCTGCCATGTTTTTGTCTAATGATTTGACTCAGTGTGTGATGTAATGAATACAGCGTCTGTAGCATATATTGTGTCTCTACATAAGTTAATCAAAGAGTTGATTGAATTGCTAATAGCATGATAATCAGACGCAGTGTTCACGCGGCTACATCTCAAGTAATTGGACGATCTTGTCATTTCCAGTTAAGTGAAGCTCATTGGATTACAAAGTGAACATGGATATTTATAGACATACACCAACTTGTAGGGGCGGGACGAGACACGGTTTCCACACGACGAGACGACACATGAGACTGGATCTACGAGAACAAGACAACAATTGTACAATCCAGTTTTCAATTGTATTCGCAATGTTTTTTATTATACTTATACTTTACTTAATATTCTTGCTCTAGCACTGCTTTTTGTGACTACAGTTTCTCAAAAAATGTATCTCGCCAGCACTTTTATCCAATCCAAACATAAAAACATGGGGAAAAATCTGACAAGATCATTTTCAGCATGTGTGCACAATCTTGTGGCAATTTTGTCTTGTGAGATCTTGTGGCACGAGATCTTATCCCAGCCTTTCAAACTTGTATCTTGCAGCTTCGTGTAGACAAACTACAGTAAAAATAAATAAGACGCATGAATAAACACAATTTTTTTGGTTAAAGAAGACCTGTTGTGCTTGTGTCTGCTATATACCATATTTTTTGGACTATAAGTTGCTCCGGAGTATAAGTTGCACTTTTGGGGGAAATGTATTTTATAAAATCAGAGACCAGGCACTTCATGTTGAAAGTCAAGTTCTAGTAATAACAATAGAACAGAGAACAACAGACTGTTAACGTCACATATGAACAGTTCTTCAGATAAACTATAACATAAACAACAGAACAGAACAAGTTTAACAAACTCTCCATCTCACTCCAAATCACTAAATCCATTCAATTCTTCATCCTCGGTGTCACTTCTGAGCAACTCGGCCTCGACCTCCGGAGGTAAACAGAGCGCCGCTTCCTCTTCTGCGTCGCTGTCGTCAGACTCAGCATCAGTTCCAGTTAGAATTATCTGGGCTTTTCTGAATCCTGACAGGATGGTTTCGGTGTCACTGAAGTCCAGGCTTTGTCCATCCATCCAGTGACTTCAGGAAAGTTTCATGGTGCATCCTCCCGGTGTCACAAGTTTCTCTCTCACTCCAAACTTTCTTTCTGCTGCTCGATTATCATTTTCAGATGCAGATTTCACGACTTGTAGTTTGTAATCTGCAAAATCTGATTTTGGTTTTGGGGGCATTTGTGTTCAGTTTTCTCAGTCGTCTTTAGAAGTTTGTTTAAACGTTAAATTGTTCAGTGGTGCAGAAGTAATGTTGTGACCGACTGACATGACACAGACAGGACAGAGGCTCTTTCTGCAGGAGACACGCGCAGTAGAGCCAAGTGACAGTGGTACAGGAGGAACAGGAGCAGCAGATACTCACACACAAGACTAGAGCCTCTCCACGCTTCACTGAAACATTTTAATATATAAGTTGCACCGGAGTTTAAATCACAGGAAACACCCAAACCATGAAAAAAAGTGCCACTTACAGCCCGCAAAATACACTAGTTAAAATCTATGACACTCATGGATCATTATGTTCAAATTTCCATTAGCACATAACATATTTCGATGTTAATTTGTGATTTGTTTGTATAATAAGTTTCACCTTTGTTTTTGACACTCTCACTCCCCCCTTCCTTTGCTTTCTGTGCTAAGTCCCCTCCCATTCAGAGTGCTTCACAAAACGACTGCACATTTGTGAAGTTGTAGTGTATTGTTTTGTATCGTGCTTTTGAATACATATGAACAATTGAAGAGAGGGTTTGAATAGGGCCCGTGAGAGATCGCTAGATTACTCAAACATGCATGGTTGACATATGAAACCTCTTCTGTTTTTTGATGAGGAAATGTTTTCGATTTTGCATAATCCCCCCTCGTTACGTCGCTCTATGATAGTTTATCAGACTAGAATCAACTTATTTGGGCTCTGCAACCAAGTTATGAAGCACATTACTTCTTTAAAGTTATTTAATGCTGCACTGCGTAACTTTTTGGGTGGGGGTCGCTCACGTGCTCTGTCTGGAATGTTCCACAGTGTGACATTAAACAGATCTACCTTACTTTTATTCAATTACATGTGGTTTTATAGCTCGAAAATACCTAGAAAAACAACACTGTGACTGTGACTGGGGCTGCCTCTCCACAGATCTGACCTGTAACTTGAAGATAGAAAGGTTTAATGCCATACTGTGAAACATTCCGGACAAAGAAATAAGATCACCATGGGGAAAAAAACATTTGACAGACCCTCCACCGGGAAACTTACACGCTACACATTTAAAATAACTCATCGTTTCTGTTTTTCGTCCGTAAAACTCGACCAACACTCGCTCAAACTTCCACTCCTCGCTCTAAGTTGCCGTGACAACCCCACTCTCCACTGTCCCGGCCTCTCCGTACTTGTGCTGAACACGCCGTTTCTCTCCGCGTACACATCCTCTCCGCCCGGGGGGGGAGAACATTTTCCTCCCACAATGCCTCACTGCCTCTCCGGTTTATAAAAAGACTTGTCTCGCAGTTTTTAAAGTGACAAGCGCGTCCCTAATTACAACATTCTGCATGCGACGTCCAAAAAAGTATCAGAAACTGCAAGCTGCACTCACCCTTCTCGCCGTGTCTCCGTAAACTCTCACGTGAAAATACTGCTGGATCTCCGGACGCGTCTCAGCGCAGTCATCATGTGAGAGCAGTTACGACGAACGTGGTGTAGGGGTTGTTTTTTTTTTTTTTTTGGCAGTTGGCTATAGGCCCCTGTGTTGTCGCGGAGACGGTCGGACCCCTCCCTCTCCTCGCCCGCGGTGGAAATAGCCCTCAGCTGTTCTGGGGTAGGAGGAGGAGGAGGAGGAGGAGGAGGGGGTTGGGGACTCGGAGCGCACCACAAGAGCCGAGAGTCGCATCTATCAGTGATCCGCAGCTGTCCGGGACTGCGATAGGCCCACAGGAAACAGGAAGTGGATGGGCCCTCTGCAATGACAAGAATGAGGACTGCAGGGAGAGAGGAGGAAATTGAATTAAGCAAAGCAAAGGCATAGATTTTTTTTTTTTTTTTTTAAAGGGCTCATATTAGGCTATTTTCTGAGCTGTTATAATGCCGTTTCCTCGTCAGAAACAGACCTGGAGTTGTGTTTTGTTTCATTCACACATGTTTAACTCACAAACTCTGCATATTTAGGAGTAATAAATGCACCTTCACTGTAATCATTTGGAGAAATCTCTTTAACCCTTATATTGTGTTAGGGTCAAAATTGACCCGTTTTCAAGTTTAGGTATGTAAAAACTGCCATTTGCTTTTTTGTACCAGAATGAGGCTTCATCTAATCCTCAGACACAACTATTTTAACGCAACAAAATCAATTTTCACCATTTTAGTAAATTGTAAAGGTCTGAAAAAAAAAAGTGACATCTGTGGTGTTACGGGTCAAAAATGACCCGGCAGAGAATAGTGGCTGTTTTATGCATCGCTTACAAGCTGTAGGCTGCTCTGTGGATCAAATATGGCTCAGTGTGTCCCACAACACACACGCATGCACGCACACACCACGCACGCACACACACACACACAAAAAGGTCGTCTTCACCCACGTGAACTCTTCTCTTTCTTGCAGCACATTGATACATTTTTAATCTAAAATAAACATTGTCATATAAACAGGGTTTTAGTGAGATATTATCAGCTGTATCTGTTGCAGCATCAGTCAACATGAGCAGGTTCACTGTTTATGAGGCGCTGGATCAGATTTTTGGTCATGACAGTGATTCTGAAGACAGAGAGGAAAGTGAAGCTGAGGAAGATGTATCTGAAGATGAGGATGAGGGCACAGACTGAATAAAAGAAGTGGACTAAGTGAGTGTTGACGTCACCCACAGCGTTTGGCGCCGCTCAAATGAAGCTCACGGTTACAGGAGCGAATCTAGAGCCAAGTTATATGTTATGAATAGGATTTTTTGGACGGACAAAACAGCCAAAAAAAAATAAAAAAAAATCAGGATCATGTGTCGCAGGTTAATACGTATATTTTAAGACCAAAATGAGGAGGTTCACAGCAGCAGGTACAGAGAGAAGGACGACAAGATCCTAACATAAGTCAATTGGAGCCAGAGTCAGAAGGAGCCGGAAGAGCCTCCTGGAGAACTTTCTATTTGGAACGCGGTGGCTACAGCGTTAGTTATGTCCATTCATATATACGTCTGTGGATGAGGATGAGGTTCAGTATGACCCTGAACAAGAGCACACACATGTGGTGAGGAGAACCCAGATGTCACAAAGACTGAAAGAGACGTCTTCAAGTCAAGAAAAAGTGACAGTTCATGGTCACCAAGCCTCTTGACACCCAATATAATTATACTTATATAAATTAGATTTATATTATATGTATTATATATAAAATTATTATGATTATAGTATAATTATATAATATAATTACAAATTTTATCACTATAGGAAATATAATTAGTGAATTTAAGCAGTTTTTGTAATCAAAAACGAGTGGTATATTTTAAGATAAAAGGTCTGTGCAGCCAAAAATAAATAAATAAATAAAAATGTTTCCATGGACATGAACACATACTAAGTTAGTTATGAGGGGAAAAACAATATTGGATGATATCTAGTGTTTTTAAGTATTTTCAGGCTGAGTTAAATCACGGGTCAAATTTGGCCCGGTAACACTAAAGACGCGTGTAGTTTTCTAACACAATATAAGGGTTAAAAACACAGTGGAGACTTCTTGTATCACCGCATGGCATCAAAAGTTGAAGTGTTTTCTGAGAGAAGAACTCAGCCTAAATCTGCAGGGTTTCTGAGTTACACATGTGTGAATGAAACAAATCACAACTCCAGGTCTGTTTGTGACAAGGAAATAACATTATAACAGGTCAGAAAATAGTGTAAAAAGTGTAATATTGCTTGAGGTTGAATGAAGAAATCAACCTTGACATAGTGACATAGGGAGAATATTCAAACTCCACTAAGTCCCTATACTGTTTTCAACTTCCCCTATGTTTTTCTTAATTCTATGTGATATTTTATTTTTGAAAACTGGTAAATCCTTTTATAATCTTAGACTGTGTAAAGAAGTGTACAAAGTGATAGTGTTCAGCTCCAGTTAAATGAAGCTCACGAAGCTAGCAGTTATAGGGGCGATTTTGGAGGAGAGGACTTTAATTACGGACTTTGATTTGTGGCTAGACCGGTTTATCAAAGTTTCGATCCCGTCAGATCTCAGAAGCACAGCAGGACCGGGCCTGGTCAGTACTTGGATGGGAGACCACTACGAAAATCAGGTGATACATTGCCTAGTATGAATAACCAGGCTGGTGCCACCTAGTGCCTCTGCTCAATTTCATTTCTCTCCAGCGACTAGGTCAGGAATCAGAATACACTAGACGGTTTGCAAGAACCCCAGAAGTTTTAGACTGTGCACCGGCCAATCAGTGAAGAGCTGTGAAGCCATGACGTCAAACTCAAGCACCGTCTGTGTCCCTTTTATGGGTGCAGCACAACAGTAAACAAAGCATCAAGATGGATGTACACGATACAAACTTCACATTTTTTATTGCACCTTTAATTCGCAAGTTCACCTCGCAGAAACGACAATGATCGTTGACAGACGTGTTCACTCTCTGCTTTGTTTGCTGTTGTGCCGGCAATTACTTGAACACCACTGAGCGTTCCGGAGCATTACATACGTCACAATCAAATAGCAGCGATTGGTTAAATAAAAAAAAGTACCCACCTACTGTCGAGCGAACGAATCCTAATGCTGCGAGGTCAGACGGTTTCCACGAAGTGAAACCGGCTGATGAATCAAGCTATAGTATCAAAGTGGAGTGTGCATGAGTGTTGGTGGTGGTCGGAGGGACTGATGGTGCAGATTGGCAGCCTCGCTTCCATCAGTTTGTCCCAGGGCAGCTGTAGCTACAATAGTATCTGACCACCACTGAGTGTGAAGTGAATGAATAATGATCTGTAAAGCGTCTCTGTGACATATGTCTGTGAAAAGCACTGTATAAATAAAAAACATACTTACAAAATAGTGAAATAAAAACACAAGGATCATGTAGAGGAGCGTTTCCCAAAGACTGGGTCAGAAGAGATTTTTTTGGGGGTCGACTTGTCACGTTCTGCATGTAGATCTGCAATATACAGGGCTATTATTAATGTCCAAATAGGAAACTTGTTGATACTGTTTAAAACTTGAGTAAAACTAATTGTTCATAGAGACACAATCACTCAGTCAGAAATAAAATATCCTCATTCATGTTCAATATTGGTCAAATCCACCTTTATTTTGTGATTTATGAATAATGTCTTGGGTCGTGAGCATTTGTGACTTTTAAAATAGGTTTGGGACAGGTTTGGGAAACACTGATGTAAAGAGCGAGTTAATATGAACATTTTAAGACCAAAATGAACAGCCTAGTGTCAGTCTAGTTACAGAGAGGGGTGACAATTTTTTCAATGTAAAGTAAACGGGAAACAGTCGAAGGAGCCTAAAGCGCCCTCATGTTCAGTTCTTGCTTGGACCGTGGCGGCTATATATATAAAATCTATGGTCCAAATTCATGTTTTTCGAGTACCATACTTCTAACTTTGCACATAAGACGTTTTAAAGGCCAGCTCCTCACGCTCGCGCTCTCTTAATCCTGCCTTGGGGTTCTCCTGTCCTGCTAAAGACAGATACATTTTTACTTAGCTCTTATAATTCAAGCCTCATTGAATTGTGATAATTACGAGGCGGTGCTGGATCTGGCCTTTCGCGGAGCCGAGCGGAGCGTCTGTTCGGTCGATATGGATGTTTGCTCGGGGGCTACTTTTTCTTTTTTTTTCCGCACTGATATAGCTATATAGTTAAAGTTCAGCGCTCTTGTGTGTGTTCTCTCCAAATGAAAAATGCTAAGTTAAAGGTGTATTATGTACTTTTTCTAGTGTAGCGTCCATCAAATGCTGTTATTGCTTTGTCTGAAATGTTTCACAGTACGGCATTAAGCTCTTCTATCTTCACGGAGACCAAACCAGACCAAGTTAGAGGTCAGATCTGCGGAGAGGCGACCCCGCTCACAGTCAGAATCCCTGTTTTCTAGGTATATTTGAAGCAATAAAACCACCTGTAGTTGGATAAATGTATGATCGATTTGTTTATTGTCATACTGTGGAACATTCCAGGCAAAGCAATAACATCTCCATGGAAACAAGAGACACACAAAAGTTGCGTAATGCACCTTTAAACTTGTCTATGTTGTGTTTACTCAATAACAGGTGTTTTTATTTTTATTTTTTTTGCTTAAATATTCACAGGCAGGGTCGCCTTTCTACTGTAACTTTTTTGTGTGTCTTCATTAAGATTAAGAAACTTTTAATGCAATACTCTAGAACATTGTTTCCCAAAGACTGGGTAGCAAAAGATTTTTTTTTTTGGGGTCGCCTGGTAGCTAGGCTGGCCCCACCTAGTGCCTCCATTCGCCTCTCCAGCAAATAGACTTCCAGCGTCAGGAATTAGAATACACTGGACAGTTTGCAAAAACCCCGGAAGTGCAAGTTCGGGCACCAGACAATCAGCAAAGAGACATAGATTCAGTGTTGTCAACGATTCCCGAGATCAAGGATTTAAAGCTGGAACAAAGAGAATGTTCAGTGAATTTTATCAAGGGGAAAGACGTTATTGTCCTTCTTCCTACTGGATTTGGGAAAAGCTTAATATACCAGTTAGCTCCATTAGTGACACA